GCTGCCATAACACGCACACTGGTGTCCACGACTCTGCATAAAAATATCCCAGGCGATCTTAGCACAATAGCTCATCGATAATTTTTCGTATTGATCGCATGGCAAAATGATAATATTCTGGATAGACTGTTTGAATAAAATGTACTAGTAAAATTAACTCCACCTCTTTCTGTTTTCTTTTTTAAATGCAACTCCTAGAAAATCTAAAATTACATTGGTGACTTGCATTGTATTTTGAACAGACAGCTCTGTTTTAAGAAATACTGTAAAAGCATACAAGAAGTGTTCATTTGTAAATGAAGACATTTAGAAATGAGCAGACCATGATGCTACTCAGGGAATAAGAGGAAAGTGTCTGTAAGTTTGAAAGAGACGTAGAACAGAGGAAAACCAACACAGATCACCTTGGGGAGTATTGTCATTTGAATAACACTTAGTATTTCAGTTCAAGAACCCAAGATGCTTTTCCACTTATTTAGGTCTTCCTTCATTTTCAGTAACGAAAGACAGTTAACAACTCGACCTTAGCCCTCTCTTCCTGCTTATTTTGAGACTGTTAGATAAATGGTATCCCACACATGTAACCTTTGGAAACACATTCTTCACTCAGCTTCAAATGCTGTTGCCCATCAGGTTGTTGCATATATGAGTACTTTGTTCATTTTTCTTGGTGAGTAGTATTCCATTTTGAGGAGGTACCAACAGTTTGCTTAACCCTTAACCACTGAAGGACATGAGGTTCTTTCTGGTTTGAGGCTGTTAAGAATAATGCTACTATGAATATTTATAGACAGACTTTTGTGTCAACGTAACTGTTCATTCCTCCGACATAAATGCCCAAGCTTGCAATCACTAGGTCACGTGGTAAGTGCAGTTTTAGTTCTAAAAGAAACTTCTGTACACTTTCCACAGTGACTGTGTTATTCCACATTCCCACCAGCAGTGCAGCCAGGTTTTCCACATCCTTGCCAGGATTTCATGTGCCCCTTGCTGTTTATGTACCCATTCTAATAGGTATGCAGTGGTAGGTTACTGTGGTTTTAATTCACATTTACTCTTAATCATAGCTGATGATGCCGAACAGCTGTTCACATGCTACATGTCATGTATCAAATGTTATCGCCTCACCTCTCCGCATATATTGGAAAATCTTACATCCTTGTCACTGAGAGGATCTGCTTCTGCTGCTCAGAGAGCCAGAACCACCCTAAGAGTTGCTCCTCATTCTAAGGAGAACTTTAAATCTTACTGTACGTTTTGGGCAGTTTTCCTAACTTTTATTTGTATGATAGTGGATATAACTATTTGTTCAACTTTGTTATTATAAAATGATTAAGTGGAAAAATACAGCTTCTGAGTGTACTGTATTGAAAAATACCACGACATTGCAACGTAGCTGTTCACAGAAGGGACACCACTTCCCTTCAGCTGCTTATTGGTATTAGGATCGGCCTCTCCTGAAAAGGACACCCATAATGTGGAAACAGGTATCAAACTGATTCAGATGCAACTACCCTCCCTCACTCCAAAGGACCAGTGAATGTTTTCGTTAGAACAGTGTTATTCTTCTCATGGATGAAAAGTGGATCCTATACATATGAATTTATGCTATACACATAAAGGGGTTCAAAAACTTATATTTTAAAGCACTGTTTTATATGTTGGAAATCCAAGATTCTTTTATTTGACAATATGGCTGTATCGGAACATTGTCATTTATGATTGCAATAGATTCCTAATTGATTTCTTTACCTCCAATGTTTTTTTACTAGACTTTAAAAATGAAGCAGGATCAGGTTCACAGGAAAACTAAGCAGAAAGTACAGAGTTCCCAAGAACTCCTTTCCCCCATAACAGCCACCCCAGCTATCCACATCCTCCATGTGGGAAGTAGAAAATTCCTTTTTAAAGTTTCCTTTCTTGTTAAAGAATAAGCGTGCTAATAACTTTGTTAAGCCCTATCCTATGCAGCTGTTAGACACGCCATGCTTACACGCACATAGAACACTCTATGTCCTTGTACCTTAACCAAGATATCTGTGCTGGACATGCTCACAGGCATGTCCCAGCTCGCCGTTGCTTTTACCTGTTTAGAAAAGTTTAAGTTGTCAGCCAATCGGGTTTTAGTTTAGATTGTGAGGTCTGGCTCCAGCCAACAGAGAACAGACACACAGTAAGGACGACCCCAAATGCGTAAGGAATAATTTGTGTGTTTTCCTTTGTTCATTGTGCTCTCATGGCACGATGGCTAGCCAGCATACCCTTTCTGCAGTCTAGGAAGTAAAAATTACGTAGCTGAAATATCCTTTGTCTCAGTGCTCATTTTTCCTTGTGACACCAAGAATCTATTTCCAACACCCCACCAGAGTGGTCCACTTCTTACCATCAATGAACCTACACCGACACATCATTATCACCCAAAGTCCTAGCGTTCATTCTTAGGGTTGTACATTCCATGGGTTTGGACAAATAGTCTGACATTACAGAATCATATAGAATAGTCTCGCTGTCCTAAAAATCCTCCCTCTGCCCACAGCCCCGGGCAACCACTGACTTTTCTATCGTTTCCACAGTTTTGCCTTTTCCAGATGTCATAGAGTTGAAATCACAGAGTATGCAGCCTTTTCGGATTGGTTTCTTTTGCTAAGTAAATACGCATTCAAGTTTCCTCCATGTCTCTTCACGGCGTGGTAGCTCCTTTCTTTGCAGTGCTGAATAATATTCCATCACATGAATGTGACATGGTTTATCCATTCTACCAAAGGACATCTTGGTTGCTTCCAAATTTTGGCAATTATGAATAAAGCTGCTATAAATACCTGCATGCAGGTTTCTGTGTGTATGTTAAGTTTTAATTCATTTGGGTAAAGGCCAAGAAGTGCAACGTCTGGATCGCATAGTTCCAGTATGTCTAACTCTGTATGAGACCACCCAGCTGTCTTCCAAAGGGACGGTGACACTGTGCCTTCCCCAGCGGTGAGTGAGGGTTCCTGCTGCCCCACATCCTCGCTGCATTTACGGGTGCCAGTGCTTCCGGTTTTGCCATCCCAATAGGTATATAACCGTCTACATTCAGTTTCACTCCTATAAGATCTTTCATACCACTGCTAAACATAAATTTGATACTGCCATGCCCCGATTTTCAGATATAATAACTTTCTTTTGCTCATGCACTGAAAGTGCCACTTTCTGACACTATATGCGACTGTCCACCCCCTGGCTCCTACATTCACTCTGACCAGCCATCATACCACGACACACCAGAAACGGGAAGAGAAGTGATTTTGGTCTCACAAACCATTTGTACTGCTATGCCAGGTTTCTTCCTAGTCCTTTATGCTCATTGCCAACTAATTCAGAAACGCATTCACTTTCAGGTACTTCCCTGAGAAATATGTGTGAAATGTCTTTTAAGAGTTTACATTATTTAATTTCTATAAAAAAACTTTTAAAAACAATTTACACAAGTGCTTTCCTTTCTGGCAGTATTAGGTAAGCCCATGTGCAGACAATCCCCTCCTGGACTGAGCACGTAAAAGACTCTGTAAATGATTTAAACACAATTTTACAGTGACACAGAACGAGGGCGGCGATTAGAGAAAGAGAGAAGGCTCCAGTGAGAACACGTGCCCGGTGTGCAGGGCTGCGCTGGTCTCTGCGGACCGGGACCTGGGCCTCCACGTGCCCGGTGTGCAGGGCTGCGCTGGTCTCTGTGGACCGGGACTGGGCCTCCACGGGCCCCACACGTGCACGAGCAGAAGCAAAAGTGAACTAAGGGACGAATGTATGGCACAGCCCATCTGAAGGTTCAGGGAAAGATCCATAATGCTCAGCGAAGAAAGCCACAGAAACTTCTACATGAGATTTCATCAGATTCGTTTGTTTCACACGCAATTTTAAAGAAAGCCAACACAATGAACGGGGTTCTTATAAATCACACATAAATACTTGTGATTAATTCACTTCAAATGCCCCATCGTAAATGCATTCAGATATCTTTCCATTTTGATTTTTACTTAAAAATTTTATAAATCGATTTGATATTCCTTTATATGTACTCATATTTAGTAGTAGATGTCTTTAAAAACTTGCAAAGGATTACTTGTTAACTGTGATATCTATCATAAATCCAATGTTGGAATAGGAAATACTATGAAACATTAAATCATCTTACAGTGGTTCAATGAGACAAATATAAGTAAAATTGAAGAAAAATTTGCATCTTTCTATTTAGTAGACAAATTGCCTTGCTTTAAGACAATGTTAAATTGGCCAGGAACAGCGGCTCATGCCTGTAATCCCAGCACTTTGGGAGGCTGAGGTGGGTGGATCACCTGAGGTCAGGAGTTTGAGATCAGCCTGACCAACTCCACCAAAAATACAAAAATTAGCTGGGCATGGAGGCACGTGCCTGCAGTCCCAGCTACTCGGGAGGCTGAGGCGGGAGAATCACTTGAACCCCAGAGGCGCGGTTGCAGTGAGCTGAGACTGTGCCACTGCACTCCAGCCTGGGAAACGAGAGCAAAACTCAGTCTCAATAAATAAATAAATAAAAATAAATTTAACAAAGACACCGTTAAATCGAAAACATTTCCTAGGAATTTTGTATACTTCCAAATGGTACGCACAGCTCATGAGCATAAGGGTGTCTGGTAAATCACCTGTTCATCGATTTCTGAACCCTTCCATATTCTGAATGGTCAAGGTGCTCACAGCCTTATCGAGATCACCTATTTTATAACACGGCTCCTAGGTGACAATGTCTAGAGCGAAAATGCCCGAGCGGCCGATACCGAAGCCATGGTCAGTTTCCTCTGTGTGTGCGGGGACACTGTGGTCAACCGCATGGCTGTTTGACAGAAGCCGCACCGGGCTAGGCGCCCTCCCCCGGCACGCACCCCCCCGGGCTAGGCGCCCCCCCCCCCCCCCCCCCCCCCCGGGCCAGGCGCCCCCCCCCCGGCACACCCACCCCTCCCCCCCGGGGCCCGGCTGGTACTCACAGCTGGAGAAGATCAGCGGGCAGGAGTGCTCGTCCATGGGGAAGTTGTGCAGCTGCAGCTGGCACTCGGCGTTGATGGTGAGCCTGCGGAGGAGCCCGGGGTCAGTCCCGGTCAGCACCAGCGCAGGGCAAGGCCCCCGCACCCGTGCGGGGATGGGGAGGGCCGCTCCGCCACCCAGGCCCGCACGCGGGCTCACTCCCGGCCAGGGCACCGCTCACGGGCGGCTGTGCCATGTTGCTTTCACGCTGGGTTATTTTGTGTGGCTTTTAACTATCAGTGGCACAGACAATTCCAGGGAGTAGAAGTCCAGCTGTGTCTAGAAACACACGCCAAGTCAGAGAGGACAAAACCCACGTCGTTTTATAAGTTGTTTTCCATCTGCTGGAACTAAACCCTTCCTCCATTTGGAAACTGGTGTGTTTATCTAAACTGCCATTTTGCCAAATTAATCCACGTGTGGGGGGATTTCCTGTGAGGGCAACTGCCCCCTATGTCACGAGGCAGGCGGTGGCTCTGCCAGCTGGGGCCCCACACCCTCGCAGGGCTGCCGCGGCCCCAAGCTTCGCGTCCACGCGGGGCCCCCGGACTGGCCGGGCCTTCGCCCTGGCTCGCGGGGCTCCTGTGACCTCAGCCTCCGGTGCGCGCGTCACAGCTGACGAGGAGCGGCTTCCACGGACACCAGCCCCCCGCGGACGTCGTCAGCTCGCTGCCCAGCTGTGGCTTTTGTGCTGTCATTGCTCCCTGGCTGGCAAAATGAGGATTTCCCTGAAACGTCAACGCTCTCTCACCATCTGCATATTTTAACGTTCCTCTGTGCCTGTGCGTGTGCCGTGGACACGCGGGGACCCCGACTCCCCTCGGGGGAATTCTCGGTATGCGCACTGCTCTCACCTCTGGGATAGACACGCTAAGCCAGCAGGATCGGGTGAGGAGGGGAAAGGGACAGGTCAAGTCCGTGGGCACAAAGGGCAGGGTGCGGAGCCGGAGGCGCAGAGCAGGTGGAAGAGGGAGCCCTGTGCCCCGGGGCAGTGAGGGCGAGCCCGTGAGGTGCACCCAGGGCCCTGAGCCGTCGGGAAGGGCGGGGCGCAGTGCCCTCTGGGGCAGTGCCAGCGCTCTGAGGACCCTGCTGGGGGGGCCGTCCAGTCCCTGTGCTGTGGGCTGTGTGTTCGGTTACACTCGAGCCCGGGACGGGCAGAGTCTAACCGAACACAGCCCACAGCACTGACACCTGTTTTATAACACGGCTGCCATGTGACAATGTCTAGGCTGAAAACGCCTGGGGTGGGGGATGCACACCGAAGCCATCGTCAGCTTTCTGTGTGTGCAGGGGCACTGTGATCAGTTGCTCGGCTGTTTGGCAAAGCAGCACCAGGCTGGGCATCCCTCGCCCAGCACGCACCCCCCCGGGCCGGGAAGCTCAGTTTCCCTTACTGCTTCTTCGAAGGTTTCTTCGAAGATTCCCCTGCGGCCAGGAGGACCCACTCCAGGGGAGCTGCTGCTTCCCTCAGGGACGTGCTGGGAAGGACCTGCTCTGCCCCTCTTCCTGGTGATCTTAGTTCACTCGGACTACATTTGTTGATGAGTGTGCCAAGACATCAGTATTTTCCTAGGGAGAGGGCCCACGGTGCACACCTATTAGAAATAACTCACATGTGGCAGGAGGGCACACTTCCTCAGGGTGCTGTAGTGCATCACGCGTGAAAAAGAACAGACTTAGAGATGAAAACAGAGCCTCGGCCGGGCGCGGTGGCTCACGCCTGTAATCCCAGCACTTTGGGAGGCCGAGGCGGGTGGATCACGAGGTCAAGAGATCGAGACCGTCCTGGTCAACATGGTGAAACCCCGTCACTACTAAAAACACAGAAAATTAGCTGGGCATGGTGGCGTGTGCCTGTAATCCCAGCTACTCAGGAGGCTGAGGCAGGAGAATTGCCTGAACCCAGGAGGCGGAGGTTGCGGTGAGCCGAGATCGCGCCATTGCACTCCAGCCTGGGTAACATGAGTGAAACTCCGTCTCAAAAAAAAAAAAAAAACAAAAAACAAAAAAACAAAAAACAGGGCCTCGTTTCTGCAATGATTCAAATTAAGGATCCAGATTTAAACCAGGAGTAACCAAAGATCAACCCGGCAATCCTACCTCAAGGTGTAAAGGATTTTCCCGTCGTTCCAGATCCGGAGGAGCTGGTTGGGCGTGGTGATCCAGTGGGCCTCTGCGGTCTTAGAGTTGCGGAAGATGGTGTCCGGGAGCCAGATCAGCCCCACCATGTTGCTGTTCAGAGTCAGAATTTTCATTGTGCTGTTGAATCGAAGGCGACTATCCGTCCAGGTCTGAGCAAAAAATATGTCGATTTGGTATTCCTGAAACAGAGCAGAAGGAGAGACGAGGCAGCTCTATTAGTGACTGTTCTGTACAATTTGTGCCCTTTGTCGAACGTCGTGTGTTCTCTCCACGTTGATGTTCTCACCTCCCCGATTCTTCTGATAGAGGCTGGTTCAATATGGAAAACACTCAGTGAATGATGACCAATATTATTCATCAGCATTGCAGTAACATTACGTGGCATAATGTCAATCTTAAGATGTAAGAAGTATATCAACTGTGGAACAGGGGTAAGAGCCACAGTGGAGTCCATTTCAGCGCGTGCCGCAAACCCCAGGCTCACAAGTCCAAGCCTTGACAGGCGGCAGGCCTGTTGCAGCCTCCGTTCTCTGATCTGTAAGATGAGGAAAATGATAGTGTCCACTTCCTAACGGTGTTGTAAAGATAAAAGGAAGTCATTGAAGGAGCACCCTTAGCGCCAGGCACAGAGCGAGTGACGCACGCACAAAAGCAGGCTGGCGTATTACTAAGCAGACAGAAGGTGCCCAGGCGTCCGGCATGGGGGAATTATGGAACAGGCAATGTGATTCTCGCGCAAGCATTTGCGCAGCTGGGGGAGCAAATGGCAGGAAAGCAGCGGCTGGGAGCAGGTTCTCGGGGCGCTTCCCCAGGAGCCTCTCGAGGCTCAGCGGCCATGGCAAGTCATGAGTGGCATCTCGGCAACCAGACAGCCCCTCCCAAGTCCATGTGCCTGCCTGTGCTGGGGGGAAAGTCGTCACATAGCCTGCTTATCTGGTGTTAAAAAAAAAAAAAAAAACACAGCTTATAAAATGCCATGCTCCGTACTCAAGGAAAAAACACCACTCAAAAGCACAAGAATGCAAGCAGATGTGCTGGCTCCCATCTACAATCCCTCTAACTTGTTTCATAATTAAATCTAAGATGAAATTTGTTCTGCATGCCTCAAAAGAAATGCCAAACCACCTGCAGTAAATCACCTGCTTAAGGCAGCATCCCCTTATCTCCCTGTACCCTGCCGCATTCTTGCTCTGTGTTGTACACCAGGAAACAGTGTGGATCTCTAAAGCTTGGGGCCTTGGCCGCCTCCATGCTCGCCCTGGCCCCCGGTCCCCACCGTATGCACCCTTGTCTTTTCCCATTTCTCTGTCTCCGCCATCCCTTACAACCCCCACGGTCCGTGTCAGGGCTGGTCCCCAACAGCCTGAATGCACCCTTGGGGATGAATGGCCTCAGCCTCATTCCCACCTTCCAAAATGTGGGCATGTGCCCATCACCGACAGACTCTGGACCCACAACCGCACAGTGAAGGTGCGCGTGTGTGTGTGCACCTGTGTGATGCCGTCATAGGACCTAGCATGTGCTGAATGATACGAAAATGGGGTTCAGAGAGCGGTGAAATGAAACCAAAGCAGGCAGCACGGATGCTTAGAGCCCAGGAATGTGGGACTGGAGGCCCGACGCCAGGGTCAGGCACGGGCGGCGGAACCCGTCTGAGGACTGGTAGCTCTCTGGGCAGAGGTTGGAAAAGGAACGGTAATAGCATGCGTTGGCCACTATTCCCTGTGCTCGGTAAGTTATCACAGGAAGGAAATTATCTCCACAAAGAACCCGGTGGTTGGAAAGCTGCTATAGAAGAGGAAAGACAGACAAAGCACACTTGGGGTCGGGCGGGCTGGGAGGATGTAGCCCCTCAAGTGCCTCTCGTCCCCATCTCTACAGCAGAACGCCCTGGGGTGCCGGTAGTGCCAAAGCCTCCTGAAACAGCGTGGCGGCAATAATCACACCCACCGCTGAAGCCTCTCAATGGATTAGGTTGCCACCCAGTAAGGTCCTTAATTCTGCAAATACGGCTCAGGGAAAAAGACTAAGGTGTGGCCCTTCCACTGAAGGCTGCTGTGGCCCAGTGACCTACACTTCAGAGAGAAAGGGCCAGAAAGAAGCCGGGGAGAGGAGAGGTGCCGGCCTGCAGAAGCAAAGACGCACCGCAGCTGCCGGCACTGCACGGAGAAAAGAACTCAGAACGCAGCTGCACATGGGAAGCTGGCCTCACGCACAAAGCTGGTTTAGTGTTAAGGGGGCTCTTCCCGTCAGGAAGAAAGGTGACTCCTTGAGGTGGAGCGGCACCCTTGCCTCCTGTCTTTCATGGGCAAACGGCAGCCTGGAAGAACTTGGATCCCAAAGGAGGTATATTATCCAGTGCCCACTTTACCATGGCAAAAAATGGTTAATGGAAAAAGAATACATTCCCAGACAATGGAGGCAAGAGTCAGGGAGAAAACAGACCTCAGGAGTCCCACCCTCGGAAAAGAATCAGAGCTGAACCTAAGACGAACCCCGCCCATCGGGATCTGCCCACTGGGGCTTCAGGCTGGCCCGTTTCCACCTGAGTCCACACACTGCACGTGTGGAGCCGGAGGGAGGTCAGACCGGTCTTCTCAGCTTACAGGTCAGTGGATCAAAAAAAACCATGCCTGGACTTGATGTCTCTCCCAGGACAGGCGTATCCATGTGTACAACACCCTGATTTTGGCCCGGGACAAGGCTGACCTTTGGGGTTGCTTCCCCTGAAGATGGGAGAGGTGTACTTTTCTCTGATGAGAAAGAGAGAGGCTAATATTCAGTGTCTAGATACAAGTCACGGTAGTCAGTGGTGCCGTCTGCCAAATGCCACAGCTTCCCTGCTTGCAGGCATGTGGCAGAACTGCTCCCCTTTTGGGGCTGGGTGGGATCGCATCACCCATAGGTGAAGTTCAAGCCGCGTGGTATGTGTCACTCTTGGGAGGGCCCTGGAAATGCCCACGTGGGACCTGCTCAGTCATTTAGGCCCTGAGAGACTGTGTGGAGCAGAGTTCTGCTGACTCACGTGAACCACATGCCCCGGGTAAGATGCATCCAGATCACTTTGTAAGAGAAGCCCATCCAGACTGACAGAGCGGTGAGGGAGAGGAAGGCTGCTGGGGTGGACAGGTGTTGGGGATGCAGGAAGGCCACAGAGCAGCCGAGACCTCAGTGAGGTACAGCGTGAGCCGGGCAGACTGGTGACGGAGCAGCAAGTTCAAAAGCATCCTTGCAGAGCAGCCTGTGAGCTAACAGCTGCCTTCCTTCCATCCTGGCAGGATCCAGGCCCAACCATGATCTCTAACTAAAATGTGTAATGGCTATATCTGCACAGAGAACACACTCAAGCCTTCAAAATTCAGTACGTGTGAATGGCCAGGGAGGCATATATGTGCATTTGTAAGTTTCACTTCCTTCTTTCTTTGGATACTGGTTTACTGGATTAAGGAATCAGAAGGATGAAAATGTCCTCCCAAGCACGTCCAGGGCCCGCCAATCGATCAATGACGTCAAACTAACGAGTATTCTCTAGAAAAGCTCCGTTCAAATGTTGGAAAGAATCCAAAATTTTCCAAACCTTTTTGCTTGTCTGTTTAACCTGAGTATAACAGAGAAATTAAAACTCAGAAAACTGGAAGAGTTTTACCAATGTTATTCAATATGTCAAAAATATTTTGAATGACAGGATCCTCCACTAATAATTTCTGAATGGGCTGTTTTATTCTATACACACAGTAAGACAAAGAGTGACTGGCCCACAGCACCTCTCACCCTCTTTACCCTTTCTCCCCTCATCTCCTCTTTCCATTCCTATGAATAAACTGTTGGTGGGAGTGTAAATTAGTTCAACCATTGTGGAAGACAGTGTGGTGATTCCTCAAGGATCTAGAAATAGAAATACCATCTGACCCAATAACCCCATTACTGGCTATATACCCAAAGGATTATAAATCGTTCTATTATAAAGACACATGCACACATATGTTCGTAGCGGCACTGTTTACAATAGCAAAGACTTGAAACCAACCCAAATGCCCATCAGTGATAGACTGGATAAAGAAAATGTGACACATATATACCATGGAATACTATGCAGCCCTAAAAAAGGATGAGTTTCTGTCCTTTGCAGGGACATGGATGAAACTGGAAACCATCATTCTCAGCAAACTGACACAAGAACAGAAAATCAAACACTACATGTTCTCACTCATAAGTGGGTGTTGAACAATGAGAACACATGGACACAGGGAGGGGAACATCACACACCGGGGTCTGTTGGGGGATGGAGGGCTAGGGGAGGGTTAGCTTGGGGTGGGGGGATTGGGAGAAATACCTAATGCAGATGACAGGGGGATGGATGCAGCAAACCACCACGGCATGTGTATACCTATGTAACAATCCTGCATGATCTGCACACGCACCCCAGAACTTCAAGTATAATTTTTTAAAATGTGCAGTTTGTGCCCCTTCCCCATGAAGCAATTTACGATGCAGTTTGAGATCAGGAGAGCACAGGGCTGGACGGAAGGTGTGTTCTCTCATCCCTCCCAGGAGGCAGAGGCGCGTTGTGTGCCAGGCACCTGGGTTCCTGACACAGAGACAGCGACCACTCTTCCTTCCGGGGGTAAACAGGCTGAAGACATTGAGTAAGCTTCATCCAGTCACTCAGCTCCTAAGTACCAATTATTCTAAACACTGCAGTCCAAATCCGCTTCCCTGGATGCGACCGAGAAGGCCCGCAGCAGCTGAGTCTGGGTGTTAGATTTGGGACGCGTGGAAGGACCCCTGTGCAGAAACGCCCTCCACATTTACCCTGTTCGTAAACCGTGTGACATCATTTACCTTCCTTGGCCTCAGTTCCCTCATGCATACAATGCAAGCGTTGGATTGCATTAAGTGTAAGGACCCTTCTGACTCAAATAAAATTTTACATTTCCATATCCCTGCCTAGAGTTAGCCTTTCCTGCTTGAAACTAATTTTCCATTTTTCTTCTCATGTCTCTATCTTATTTCTACAAGAAGAACACGATGGGGTGACTTCTTCCTGTGTCCCATCTTCTTTTACTGGAAAGACTTTCATAGGTCTGAATTCTGCATGAAGAGTTCGAGAACCATCCATGAGGTGGAGACTTGCAGAACAAGGCAGGAATCCCCACCCCGACCCAGCAACGACCATGCT